AGGGCGGGCCTCTGAATTCCAAGGAGGGGACCTCTCTTGTTCTTGGCAAGGAGAACCGCCAGCGGGGCACAGAAGGGAGAAAAGGAACCCCAGAGCCATGTCCGTGGGAACCCGCCACGGTGCTGGAACTGGGACCTGGTACAAAACATCTTGTGTGCTTCCTGAGTGTCTCCCCAAGGGTCCCTCAGAAGCCATGGGCAAGAGAACTCCTTTTACTGGAAAGGCACATCTTCAAAATGACCAGGGGCCACGAAGACAGTCTTTGTAAATGTAGTTTAAGTTGGACTACTGATACCAGTCTTCCAACATCAGATAAAAATAATTGGGAAATTTCCAACATCAGATAAAAATAATTGGGAAATTTCTCCCCCTAAAAATAATTAGGGAAATTTCTGTGCCCTAAAAATTCGGTTCTTTGTAACTTTCTGGCCTAGCTCCAACCCCAATGTTCCTTCTGTTCCTTAAACATACTAAGTTTTTTCCCCCCAACTCACAGCCTTTGGACTGTTCCCCCACCAGGAATGTTCTTGCCCCAGGTCTTTGCAAGGCTGCTTCCATCTCACCATTCAGGTCTCAGTTCAAATGCTACCACCCTACTCTTGCACTGTTTTATTTCTTTCATACCATTTTTCAGTCTCTAAATTATTTATTTTTTGTCTTCTAGTTATCGAAAAAGGGGTTCCACCTTCTGAGAGTATTTTGAGCATTTGTGGGGTGGTTTTCAAAAAGATAGGAGGGCCACTAGTGTTATTTTGTAGGCAGGAGCCAGGGGAGCTAGATATCCTGTGATGCTTAAGTCAGGCTACACAACCAACAACTGGCCCATGTTCTGCATGTCTTTTCAGTGTCTCACTGGGCATTGAGGTCAGTGAAAAACCTGTTTGTAATTAGCTGAGCACCAAACTCTATTTTACATAAATGAAAAATATTTCAGCTGGTTTTAATACACACTGAAGTTTCCAGGAATATTATGCTCTGTTTTGTTTAGGAAAAGTTGCTTGCCATGTCAGAAAATCGTGTCAGTAATGACAATGCAGTGTGTGGTGTGTGAGACATATACGTGCACCTGTAATTGTTGAATCCAGGGGTTTGGTGCATATTGATGCAATATATTCACTTAGTCTCATTTCAAAGTGTCTAATATAAAAAAGAATGATAACAATATTAAGCTATTGTCTTTAATTTAAATTTAGTTTTATAAGTAGATGCAAGTACTTGCCTATTTCATTGTATCTTTAGGTGTAGTTATACGTAGATATTTATTTACATTTTCAAATATTGCTTCTTTATAAATTACTTCCTTTTATTTCTCCTTTAAATAAAAGGATGTTAAATTATTTTTTAATTATATATAGGTTGATTATCTGTGAATTTCATTTTGGCAGAGAAAGGCTATTCATTCCAATCCAGTTGTGAACCATTGCTCTCCTCTAGAATATAAACTCCATGAGATCAAGGACCTTGTTTCCCATTGTATCCCAGTTCCTAGAACAATACCTACTACACAGTAGACACTCAAACAAAAATTTCAACTAAATGGTACATCTTTGTCTTAATGTAAAAATGGTTTAACCCACTCAAAAGTGAAGCACCAGATAGTTTATCCTATGTTTTCACACCTGAGCATGCCACAGTCCTCGATCCCTCACCATTGGTACCCCAGTTTAATAGGCGCAAAAATTACTAGTTTATGTTTTTGTCTGACAGACTCATGACTATTGTAACTAAGTACTTTTCTCTGATTTACCTACTAAGAATTGAGAGCCAAATTTGTGGCCAATTCCTACCAACAATAAAGAATACAACAGTGAGTTATTTTCTATTTCTACCTTTATTTTCTGGTATTATATGAATATATCAGGAGCCGCCTCAGTTCCTTTTGGGGAAGAGGGAGTGTTTTTTCCACAGTCCTTACTTTTATAAAGCAGTATTCAAAGCTTTTTTCACATTATCTTATTTGATTCTCAGAACTATTTGGAGATGTAAATTACGAATAACCCTTTCTTACTGTTGAGGAAGCTAAGCTTCAGAGAGGTTAAGTGCCCCATTAACAAAACTTGGACTTGAACCTAGGCCTTCTTGACTTGGTTGCTTGATTGGTTGATTTTTACTAATGCCTTCAGGAATCAAAAAGGGTCATTTTCAAATATAAAGTCAAATTTTACATTTACATTTATGCCAGGACACATTTCAGGAGAGGGGGGAGAAGGTAGAAACCTTTTGTAAGTCTATCCAAATGGCCCTTCCCAGGAGTGAGTTTCATAAACATCATACATTTGAATTCTTTTCAACCCTCTGATTATGGTTTGGCTTGTTATTTTTGTATTAACTGGGATTGAGTGCATATGAAGTATAAATTTAATAAGATTACTACACGACCCCCAAGACAGTTGAATTCTCAGTTATATCTCAATTAAATTATTAAAATTTATTTCCACATTCCTAGTGTAGCAATTTTAATAAATTACTGTACATACTCTTCTCTGGCATATTAAGTGTGAGGCCATCAAGATCCTTAAAGCAGCTTTCATTCAGCCTCAGAACTTCTTTATAAGGTGAGTACTAGTACACTGAGAACTGGCAGTTTCACCATCACCAGCTGGCTTATCACTAACATCAGGAAATTTCAAGCTGTGGAGGAAAAAACAACGTAGACAACAAGTACATTGTGGGGTTAGGAGTTGTATTTCTCAATCACGCTGAGTGGGGAGTGGCTGAGAGCCAGGCTTCCTTCCCCCTCGGGATTCCTGGCTGCCACATTCAGTCCTTCTGCTGTATGAGAGGTCTCCCAGCCAGTTGGATGTGTCATTTTGAAAGAACTCTGCTGAAACCTGATTGTTCTGCAACTACATGCGGTTGTGTTTGTTGGCATTTAAACCATCAAGACAGTCTATTTGCTGAGATTCTTAAAAGTTGCAAAATCCATGGCTTGATTTCCACTGCTATTGGTCTGTACTGTCACCATTCGGTTGGGAAATGCCCCCCCCCCATGCGCACACACCAGAACTGTATCAATACTATTCACTAATAGGGACACCATGCTCTTTGGGGTATGGGTAAAGAAGAAAACATAAAAACATGGAAAATATAAAACCATTCTATTTCCTAGAAACATTGAATAATGTTTTTATTTCAGTATTTAAAAAAATAAATGCCACAAAAAAATAAGCAGATTTACATTCATTTCATTTATTCAACATGTATGAGTACCTATGTGTCGGGCATTGTCCCAGTCACTTGAATATAGTAGATAAAACAAAGCCCTTATTTCCAAAAACTGACATC